GTGATTGTGCAGGTCACATAACTAATTCGTCTGTCCCGATCCAATTTAAGTACACCAAATTCGGCGATAAGGTATTCACAGTCATTTTAGCAAAACTTCAACTTGAATGCTGCACTTTTTGTGAAACATTTCAAAACTAAGAAAGAAAGAAAACAAATGTGAGGCAACAAAATTTTCGTAAAACTTATTTGTTTTCTTTCCTTCTTTCTATCTTAATTCATTTAGTATTATGAGGCGTAGCCATATTTTTCTGAAAATATACAGCCATTTGTTCGACAAAAGGCTTACAATGTATCTAGTCAACAGTTGACTATATTTTTCTTGATTTAGCGTTCCACTGACTACTTTTTTTATTTATTTATTTCACTAACTATTGGTTTTTAGGCATATAATATTGCCGAGCTTTTTAAGAGACAATTTAACCAGGTATCCAAAAATAATAAAATATACACAGAATTTCTTAGTTCCTGAGAAAGGGGAAGCAGCACTGATTGAGCGTCTATCCCGAAAGATTCAACTTTATCCTAGTCATATGATAAAAATAAAGGAGTTACGGTTTGAGGCGTTTTTTTGTAATTCACCCTGTATAATACACGATTCTGACTAAATGTATGTTGAGCACGTCGAATTCACTTTGATATAATTTCAATAATTCTCATTAGGAAACATGAAGTATTTCGATGTTTAATTTATTATTTTACGTGCTATTAGAAAAACTATTCCATATTCTCATTAAGCTTGCCAGTATTTATAGACATTAACTTTTCAATCATAAAAATCAATCAAGAATTACCTGGTCAATTAGCCAGGATCAATATTGGTCAATTTTGACGCGGAAAAATTAGTCCTAAAAATGAAAAACTCCTCTGTATTTAATCCTGAAATAATTTCAGTCAGCCCGTCTCGAAACATTTTGCAACAGAGTGATATATCTTCTATGCAGTGCGAGTAAAATCGTTCTAGGTATCAGAATCGTTCTACTAAAATATTTGTAGACAGCACTTGGGAACTGCTTCGTTGAAACTTTATGCATATGGATTTAGAAGAAGCTTTCGACAATGTTAAATAGGACAATATGTTAAATATATAATGAGATAGAAGAGTGGTACGTAGTTTGTATAAAGAGCGACAGGTAGTTATAGAGCTTGGGCAGCAATGTAGAGAAGTAAATATTAGGAGGGGAGTCAGACAAAGATGCACACTGTCATCGCTCCTTTTTAATCTATACATCGAAGACGCGATCGTCATCATTAAAGACAGTACAACTGTGGGGTAGGAAATAGTATGCTTAGATTTAGAGGAGTTAGAGGTAGCCTTAAATAAAATGGAAGTGGTATTGACAAAACAGTATTACTTATACGAAAATAAATAAAAGTATAACAAAAATACTGGTAGTAGAAATAAGTCACTTGAACATCCGCTAACGGTTAAATTAAAAATTCGAAAAAGATTGTTAAAGGTGCGGAGCGTGGCGCTATATGGGTGCAAGAAGTGGACGCCGTGGAAAAGAAAAAGTTAGAAGCGTTCGAAATGTGGCGTTACAGGCGAATGATGAGGATGCCGTGGATAGAGAAGGTTAGAAATGGAGAGGTATTAGAAAGAATAGGATAATAAGAACAGAGCACTGTGTGGAAATTAATAGGAAATAGGAGAGATAATATAAGAACAAAGGCTTTCACGGCCGGAATCCATAGTAGAATGAAGATACTGCGGCTGACATCCTCAGTGGTAGTGCAGCGTTGACAAAATGAACGTGGATTATATCTCGAAGTCTCGACAGCGACTGTAGCTGACGAAACGTCTGGGCACAATAGTTCACTTAGATCACGGCCCTATAGCCAGAATCTTCATTCTACTAGGCGAGATAAATTTGTAGGTCACCTTCTCAGGCATGAAGGGCTAGTCAAAGACATATTAGATCCAGGAACAAAAGTTACGTGGAGTAGAGGCAGGCCTAGATTAGATTACTGTTCACAAATAGTTAAATATGAGATGTTCTCGCTTTAGGGGAATGCGAATATGAGTTCAGGATAGAAAAGAGTGGAGGTGCGTATCCAACCAGTCATAGGACTGACGACCTTATGATGATGGATATAGTTTATGACAATTATGGCTACTTGACGCCTATACAATCAGCTCAAATATAGTAGTTGCAATGCCACAGACATGTTTTTCATCAAAAGCTTATTGTAATCAGGATCGTTGATCGAACTGAGTATCAGTCGTTCTGAAAACAAACTGAAAACGTAATTGGTTCTTTCCATTCGCTCAAAACTTACGCGTTGGTCCCTTGAAAATTCCATTGCTCTCTAGCGTGAAATGAAAAGATGTTGTTAGAGACCCTTTTTGTCACTATTTTCACAAAGGACGAATGCCATTGTGAAAAAAATTGGAAGATATCTGTGTACTAGTGAAAAAGAACAAAATTCTCATTCAAGTTCTTTTCAGCCTGGACCGTTTTAGATATGCGTTTACAACTATAAAAATAGAACGAAAATCCGAGTTTGTTAATACCATCCACGCAAGAAGGCTTTTGGTGCGATATGTTAAGTCCATACAATTGGCAGGTATTCATTTTTTTATCAATGAATAATACTAGTGCAATGGATTCTAGGCAAATCTCGTGGAAGGAAATCGATACGATGCTGTAAGCGAATGAAATTCGCGTATTTTATTTTGACGCAATTCTTTCTGTCGGATAAAAATAGACGTCACATATTTTTAGTTGTTGTATCGCAAGGAAAACACCTTTCAAAATCCCATAGATGTCAATATAAATTCGAGCATTTCTATCCACACTTCACGAATTATGAAGATATTGGACGTGTCTTGTACCAAGAAAGATGTCATAAGAATAATATCAACGGGAGCTTGAAATATATGATACAATAATCCTGTTAGATGCTCGAAATGGTTCTTTAGTTGTCGAATGTTTGTTCAGGATAAAAACAGTGGTAGAAACATCAAACAAAATCGAGTTGTTTTTGAGATGTGGTGATGAAATGATAAAAATGGTTAGATATGAGGAAGTATTTGAGAAAGTAGAAGAGCATAGAGCGATATGGAAGTTAATTAGGAAAAGGAGATGGGATGGCGGGTCACCTTCTAGGACATGAAGCTATTTAGAGACGTATTAGTAGCAGAAACAGGAAGAATGAGAAGGATATGTATAGCTGAAGGCTTCATTGTAATGAAGACTATGGTAGAAACTTAAATCTCATCAACAATACTTAAGGTATCGACCAATCAATCATTAAACTGTTCTGCATTATATTATATCGAAAAGGGTTTTAAATTCAAAAGTAATACCTAGACAAAATGTACTGGAAGGGAAAATTTGACAAGCTCTATAGTTTACAATTGATTATGGATTGCAGCTCTTCGAATTCTTTGAATCCAGAATTTAACAACATCTAATGGCTACTCCACTACGAAGAAGAGTATTACATATAGCTCAATAAATATCCAAAACGATGGGAATTTAACAAGTTTCTCTTTACGTCTGTCACAGAGCGAAAAACAGAAAAAGTTGTAAGCCTTCCAAGTCTTTTGTTCGACAGAAGTCTGATGGTATTTATTTTAAGGGATGGTGTCTTCTTAAAAGTGGAGGGTTTACAGAAGTTCTTTACATCGGATTTACAAACGAATTCTATCGGAGAAGCCGTTTGCGACAAGTAATAAATTTGTCGGCTAAGAACTGCACAGACAGCAGAAAATGTGCTTTGTAAAAGTGATTGGAAAACGAAGGCGATGGTTTTCGACCCGGAATAAGTAATAACATCTTTGCGGTTACAGAATAATTTTGAATTTTTGAAAGTATAAAGAGAATATGTACTACAACGAAAAGTATCTATAAATAAAGTTGATCATAGTAACTACCACACTAGTTTGCAATAAATATAATTAAATTGAGGGTGTCGGTAGCAATAAATACTTGGGAACAAAACGATGGGTCTAGTTGTTAACATAACAACTGTTAATTTTAGATGTCGATTAATAGTAGTAACACACTAGTTAAATAAATTAGTGTTCTGCGTTAGATCTGTTCAAAAAGTATCGCAAATTTTGGGTTTTTTCGAAAATTATTTATTTATTTATTCATGAATATCTATTTTGTCCCCTTCAAAGTAACCCCCATTAGATATTATACACTTGTGCCAATGTTTCTCGAAGCTGTCTTTATTTCCTCAATCGTAGTGTAGCGTCGTCCTTTTATGGGCCTCTTCAGTTTCGGGAACAAGAAAAAGTCACAGGGGTCAGATCTGGGGAATACGGTGGCTGCGGCATTATTAGTGTGTTGTTTTTGGCAATGATGTGTGAGCAAGGGCATTATCATGGTGCAAAAGCCAATTCTTGTTCTTCCACAAATCCGAGCGTTTCTAGCGGATTGCTCTTATCTTGCAGGTTATATTCCTTGTTGACCTTTCTACCCTGTGGCAAGAACTCATAATGCACCACGCCCCTGCAATCGAAGAAAACTGTAAGCAAAAGCTTCATATTCGACCTAACTTGGCGAGCTTTTTTCGGTCTTGACTCGTTGCTGCAGCTTCCACTGGGATAATTGAGCTTTGGTTTTCACGTCATAAGCATAAGCCGTCACCAGTTATGATCCTCTGGAGCAAATTTGGGTCCTCGCGGATGGAGTCCAACAGCTCCTTAGCAATGTTAATGCGATTCGATTTTGGTCGAAGTTGATCAATTTTGGTACGAATTTCGCGATGAGCCGTCTCATGTCCAAATCATTGGTAAAAATCGAATGGCAGGAGCCAATCGATATGTTTAGGTCCTCGTAAACTTCTCCAGCGGTGATTCGGCAATTGGCCAATACTATTTTCTTCACTTCATCAACTTCCGTAACCCCCGGAAATTCAAAATCCGCGATACTTTTTGAAAAGAAAGTTGAAAGTTGACGTACATATGTGTAAATATTTCCAAGTTTATGCCTTCGGCAATATAACAAAGTATGAAAGTGTAATTGCTTTAAAATTTTGTAAACTTACCGTGCACTCAGGGTCGCCCACGTAGCAGAAGTCTCCAGATACGGATGTTGGGACCCACAAATGATCACCATCAATAGCTCCTTCCGTCCAATCTGGAGTGTTCCGGAGAGATCGCTCTGACTCGGTACTCGGTTTTCTGCAAACAGGACAACTGTTAAATTTGAAAATAAATATTCTTATTTATATAATTGATTTATTCTGTAACTATAGGCTGCAACAGAAAAGAAACAACAGAATTTTGTGAATACATTTACTTTAATGATTTTCATTGGAAACAAAATATGATGATGATGAGTCCGAATCGTCTTTCTATATCACTATCATGGAGTCATTACTTATACATACGTTGGTAAGTTTGTAATGTAATTTTGTAGAGCTGAGATAGCCGAATGATAGGATATTCTGAAATTAGTTGACGATTAAAACGTCTAATAAAATAATGAAACTAACTAATTGACCTACTTTCGATATACAGGTTGTTGTGGTTTAATCGAATTTTTTAATGTAAAATCAGTAGTTGCGGGTAAACGCCTGCTGCTGTGCCGGCGCATTATTAGATTAAATTAGGTTACGGTATGGAGGAACCCTGATTGAAATATATGAACGAAGTGCTGAGCCCTCACACTCTGTCCAATATAACCCATGTTTACGTATAATTTTAAATTTTCATTATAATCAGTCAGTTTTACTCAGTATTTTACCCCAGAATGCTGTAACTCAGTTTGCAACATAACTCTTTAAAATTGAAAATGGCTTGAGTTTGCTTAACATTTAAATCAAATTAAAACGTTGTCGTAAGATCTCAGGTTTCAGCTGCTCCAATTTAATTTATTCAAACTATTAATATTCATAAGAGACAAGACCGAGCTCAATATAGAAACCGAAAAATATCCACTGCATAATAAGTTCTCACATAGGACAGTGTATAAGCTTGATATATTATAGTCCATTGTTCTGACATTGATAAATGCTTTTGTAAAACTTATTGGTGGGTTAATAACCTCGGAAACGTTTTTATTTCTAGTGTCCTAGCATAGTTGGATTAACTGACTGATCTGTAATGGAAACTGAAGAAGAATGTTCTAGTGTATGGAGCTTTGATATTTATTATTTACTCAGTTAGCCGTGGACAAAACGGTATATTTGGGACATTCAAAATTGGTATAGTCCACAATAAAACTGTCACATTTACTGTCTTCTTTCAACTTACTAACTAGACTGAAGCAATTGCTGACAGAACGCCTACTTTTATTCACAACAGACGTTGTAGGGAATCTTGTATACATATAGAAAAGAGATGTCAGGTAGGAATTGCAGCGGACACTAATAAGGAAAAAGAAATAACATTGCACCAATTGATCAAAGAAAGAGATGCAAACAATCAGAATTTGAGTATGTTGCCAGTATCCGACTTTAAGAAAATTCAACATTCTCAGGAATTTTGGAAAGCAAAGACGATTGTTTAAAGATATAATTCCAATCCAAGCCGACCCTGGTCTTTTGAATATCTAAGCAACCTCTAACCGCTGCAATGCTTACTGTTATTCGATTATCTCATTTCACTTTGTACTACTCATGAAGCATTCCAGTTGGTAATAAAAGTGGAGAGCGGATCTAAACGTCTCTAACCGGGTGTATAATTGGTTGTATATACGTATACTCTAATCACATATTATAAGTATCAAATTTGGGTGTATAGTTGGTTGAATATGAAGGAACCAATGGCTGACGTTTCTCGGATTGTCTAGATATAAAAGGATACAAACAAATATTGGATAGTAAAACAACCCTTCAAAACAGCGGATACGTAGGAATTTATAAGAATTTTAGCCGACATTATTTTTATATAAAGTGTTTTAAGTAGAGAAAATAACCCTCCGTGACACGTGGACGATATTTTAACATCAGAGCACACTTCCCGGGGAAATGGCCTATATCGAAAAACAACCCCTCAAAGTTTTTTTGATTTAGTAGATCATCCTATATGACAAACCTTGAAATGAAACATATATTAAAAATAGCGAATGCAGTTTTTATTGTTGTAAATTGTCAAGTACCTCGCTTTCTATTTCATCGTCTCTCTCTACATCTTATCTATCTGTCCTTGTTTTCTCCTTTATTTATGACTTTTCTGTACTTTCGACCACTATTCGCCTATCCTTTTCTTGCCGATTACTAATGCTTCTGTGCTGTCTTTCTCTATCTCACCACCTTTTTACCCTTAAGTAGCGTGCCATCGGTACCAAGAGAGAGAGTACGAAGGTTGCTGCCAAGTCGCACGTTTCGTTTCATTCACCGTTCATTCACCGTTTTATTCACCGTTTTATTCACCGTTTTATTCACCGTTCTTGTTTCATCTAGTGTACGCCGATTGAAGGCATTGTATATATTGTAAATATATTCAATAGATTCTACTACATTTACAGTGTTTTTTCAATTCCCAACAAAAACCTGCAACCCTTTAATGAGGATTGCTAGGACGTTTCATGCGATAATCTAGCCGGCGATTCAGAGTCATCGAATCGTATCAAACATTTATAATAAAGGAAGTTTCGAAATGCCAAAATTGTTACCCGGAAAACCATTTTTGTTTTCCCCAAGTAGATAATATAAGTATTTATTTTTTCAATATTCTCCAGAACGAGAAATAGAGTATGTGGTCATTGACACGATACCTGTGCAGTCTAACTTAAAGAACTGAAGAATCTAACCTAACTACTGACGACCTGCATCTGTGGGATTAAAGATAGTTATAAGGTACATCGAATCTCAATTGGCTGCTGCAGAAGATTAAATTTAATGTATTTAAGACGGGGGATCGCTGTATATATGTGCCATGAAGGATTAAACATGTTCACATGCATACATCATGAAAATGTTGCCAAAATCAATATGACAAAGGGTGTCACCATTCCAATTTGGACGGGCTCAATTATTGTAAAAATGAAGTGAAAAGGTTGAGCTCTTGTTTCCGGGGTTATCTGAAGAGCGTTCGATATTCGGCCTTGATAACCGTGGTCTAGGACTGGCCCTCCGTCGGTGAATTCCGTTTCAGTTTTGTTGGATGCTGCGGTTGGCATCACTGGGGAACGTAAAATCCTTCGCTGTGGTTGTGCTGAGGCGGATGTAGTCTAAACGTAACCGCAGCGAAGGATTTTACGCCGTCGCCACGTTCCTTCAGGATGCCAACATTTTATGTACCACGGACTCGTTGAATTACGCTTAAAAATGTTATACTTTCAGAAAAACATTTTGAATTAATGCTAACAAAAGTTAGACAAAACAAGTGTGATGCTGGATAGAGAATTGGATATCCCGGTTCTCGTAGACATTAAATAGCCTTCTGCTAGGTTATAATTAGCTGTCAACAAGTGTATGTTCTTAATTTTCCCACCATTATAGTAGCGTAAAAGGTTTGGCTGGCGTTGGTGGCGTCTTGCGGGCGTCTAAATTTATGTCTGTCTCCTATGTTGTAAGTGTGATCAATTCCTAAAATAATCCCAAAGGAACGCGATCGGTGCAGCGACACTTTCAAACCGATTTATTATTAAAAACAGATTTTCTATAGTGTTATCGAACAGCACAAAATCATAAACACTTTAAGTTTGTTTTGAACGCTAGTAGGAAATTGCCTGCTGCATTGTTTGTTGACGTAGAGGGTGCGGCAAAACTTGTTTGTTATGTAATTTTGAAGCATTAGCGAATTTAATGCTTTACTAACAGAGTGACGATGATGGAAAAACCAAGTAATCGTAAGCTCAATTGTATTTGACGTGTTACGTGAAAAAACTAAAATTAAATTGGTAAATTTGCGGCCAGTAGGTGAACTGATGCTGTTCTGATTCGGGTTTAAAGGCCGTCGTGTGTTGGAGTTCACTAATGTTAAACTTTACAGCTATTAAAACTGATGAGCGGGCAGTCTTTTCGAACTACACCGGAGGGTAGGGCAGAAGACCCCTCTTTGATCCTCTTTTAGAAATTGTGGAAATGAGTGGTCTGTGGTTGGGGTGTAAAAGAACAGAGAGACGGAATGAAGACAACAGAGAGTAAAAAAATATCTGTGGAATACTACTGCCCCAGCATTCGCCCAAATGATATAAGAAAACCACAGAAAAATTTGGACCAGGGCAGATCGACCCGAAATCTAACAGGTGTTCTCCCGAATGTTACTTGGAAGCGATGAACCATTGGACAACTGGTATATGACCGTTCATTTCGAAGCGGTGGAGGGGTGGTGGTGATAAAAACCAATACCAGAACCTAAGATTTGTTAGTTCAGTTGACTAGGCACACAAGTTTAGCACGGCAAGAAGTTTTGAAATCCGCTTATTTATATCCAAAATTTTCATTATTCATGCCTGAAGGATTTTGATTCACTTAATCTCCAATGGCATAGTAAATTTTCATTTGTATATCAACTTCGTTTTATAGTCCATATACTCTAAATGAACTCTGGCGTCATGGTTCTTTATGGAGGAAAAAATAAAACAATTGTCAAACAGGCGTTTCAGTTATCTGTATACAATGATTTTTGAAAATTACAAAATATACATATACGTTGTAATAANATAGAACAGTGAATAGTAACAGTAGTGTAAATAAATAGAATAATTACCGAAGTTTAGTAATAATTTAATAGTGTTTTTAAGTTTAATAGTAATTAGTGTAAATAAATAGTTTTCTTCTTAAAATTTAATTTATTAAACCCACGAACATTACAATATTATTGCTCCATTTTTCTGTTTCATTTAATCCAGTGTTCCGAAAAGAATTGAATTACGTTCCTGATCATATTATTTTACTGTTAAGTGAATAAAATTCCATTTATATAGTCTATAATAAAAGAATACGTGTTTAAGCTTCCTTGAGTTTCGTTATAGGGGGTTTACACTGCCTTTTAGAGGAAAGCAAAAGAGATATTATAATTGTACAAAAAGCAAAGTTAAATTGATTTAGTTTTCGAGTTTTTGCGAATCATTAATAGATAAAATTATCAGCTAAATTTCTTCCTGGATTTTCTGCTTTAGTGCAATAATTATTTTTGCTTATTCAGGATTGAATATACATACATACATATGTATAATAAATCGGTTTAGCTGCGAAACAATGGATTGTTAATGGCACTCAACGCAGTTG